AGTGCGGCCGCACCAAAGTTTTGTACAGCTGCAACATGACCTCATGGCTCCGAAACTCAATCCCTCTACCAATAAAACCTAACATACCATACGCCTTCTTAACAACGCTATCAACCTCGGTGGCAACTTTCAGTGATCTATGCACATGGACACCGAGATCTCTCTGCTCATCCACACTACCAAGAATCTTACCATTAGCCCAGTATTCTGTATTCCTGTTACTTCTTCCAAAGTGAATCACCTCACATTTTTCCGCATTAAACTCCATTTGCCACCTCTCAGCCCAGCTCTGCAGCTTATCTATGTCCCTCTGTAACCTGCAACAGCCTTCCGCACTATCCACAACTCCACCGACTTTGGTGTCATCCACAAATTTACTAACCCATCCTTCTACACCCTCATCCAGGTCATTTATAAAAATGACAAACAGCAGTGGCCCCAAAACAGATCCCTGCGGTACACCACTAGTAACTGAACTCCAGGATGAACATTTCCCATCAACCACCACCCTCTGTCTTCCTACAGCTAGCCAATTTCTGATCCAAACCGCTAAATCACCCTCAATCCCATGCCTCCGTATTTTCTGCAGTAGCCTACCGTGGGGAACCTTATCAAACGCTTTACTGAAATCCATATACACCACATCAACCGCTTTACCCTCATCCACCTGTTTGGTCACCTTCTCAAAGAACTCAATAAGGTTTGTGAGGCACGACCTACCCTTCACAAAACCGTGTTGACTATCCCTAATCAAATTATTCCTTTCTAGATGATTATAAATCCTATCTCTTATAATCCTTTCCAACACTTTACCCACAACCGAAGTAAGACTCACTGGTCTATAATTACCAGGGTTGTCTCTACTCCCCTTCTTGAACAAGGGGACAACATTTGCTAGTCTCCAGTCTTCTGGCACTATTCCTGTAGACAATGACGACATAAAGATCAAAGCCAAAGGCTCTGCAATCTCCTCTCTAGCTTCCCAGAGAATCCTAGCATAAATCCCATCCGGCCCAGGGGACTTATCTATTTTCACACCTTCCAGAATTGCTAACACCTCCTCCTTATGAACCTCAATCCCGTCTAGTCTAATAGCCTGTATCTCAGTATTCTCCTCGACAACATTGTCTTTTTCCTGTGTGAATACTGACGAAAAATATTCGTTTAGCGCCTCTCCTATCTCTTCGGACTCTACGCACAACTTCCCACTACTGTCCTTGACTGGCCCTAAACTTACGCTAGTCATTCTTTTATTCCTGACATACCTATAGAAAGCTTTAGGGTTTTCCTTGATCCTATCTGCTAAAGACTTCTCATGTCCCCTCCTGGCCCTTCTTAGCTCTCTCTTTAGGTCCTTCCTGGCTAACTTGTAACTCTCAAGCGCCCTAACTGAGCCTCCTTCCTCCTCTTGACAAGAGATTCAACTTCTTTAGTAAACCACAGTTCCCTCGCTCGACCACTTCCTCCCTGCCTGACAGGTACATACTTCTCAAGGACACGCAGTAGCTGTTCCTTGAACAAGCTCCACATTTCAATTGTGCCCAGCCCCTGCAGTTTCCTTCTCCATCCTGTGCATCCTAAATCTTGCCTAATCGCCTCATAATTGCCTTTCCCCCAGCTATAACTCTTGCCCTGCGGTATATACCTATCCCTTTCCATCACTAAAGTAAACGTAACCGAATTGTGGTCACTATCAACAAAGTGCTCACCTACCTCCAAATCTAACACCTGGCCTGGTTCATTACCCAGTACCAAATCCAATGTGGCCTCGCCTCTTGTTGGCCTATCTACATACTGTGTCAGGAAACCCTCCTGCACACATTGGACAAAAACTGACCCATCTAAAGTACTTGAACTATAGCGTTTCCAGTCAATATTTGGAAAGTCAAAGTCCACCATAACAACTACCCTGTTACTTTCGCTCCTATCCAGAACCTTTTCCTCTACATCTCTGGAACTTTTCGGAGGCCTATAGAAAACTCCCAACAGGGTGACCTCTCCTTACCTGGTTCTAACCTCAGCCCATACTACCTCAGTAGACGAGTCCTCATCAAACGTCCTTTCTGCCACCTTAATACTGTCCTTGACTAAAATGCCACACCTCCCCCTCTTTTACCACCTTCCCTGATCTTACTGAAACATCTAAACCCCGGAACCTGCAACAACCATTCCTGTCCCTGCTCTATCCATGTCTCCGAAATGGCCACAACATCAAAGTCCCAGGTACCAACCCATGCTGCAAGTTCACCCACCTTATTCCGGATACTCCTGGCATTGAAGTAGACACACTTCAAACCACCTTCCTGCCTGCCGGTACACTCCTGCGACCTTGAAACCTTACTTATGACCTCACTACTCTCAACCTCCTGTACACTGGAGCTACAATTCAGGTTCCCATCCCCCTGCTGAATTAGTTTAAACCCTCCCGAAGAGCATTAGCAAATTTCCCCCCCAGGATATTGGTACCCCTCTGGTTCAGGTGTAGACCATCCCGTATGTAGAGGTCCCACCTACCCCAGAATGAGCCCCAATTATCCAGGTATCTGAATCCCTCCCTCCTGCACCATCCCTGTAGCCACGTGTTCAACTGCTCTCTCTCCCTATTCCTCGCCTCGCTAGCACGTGGCACGGGTAACAAACCAGAGATAACAACTCTGTTTGTTCTAGCTCTAAGCTTCCACCCTAGCTCCTTGAATTTCTGCCTTTCATCCCCATCCCTTTTCCTACCTATGTCATTGGTGCCTATGTGGACCACGACTTGGGGCTGCTCCCCCTCCCCCTTAAGGATCCCAAAAACACGATCCAAGACATCACGGACCCTGGCACCTGGGAGGCAACACACCAACCGCGAGTCTCTCTCGTTCCCACAGAATCTCCTATCTGTCCCCCTAACTATGGAGTCCCCAATGACTAACACTCTCCTCCTCTCCCTCCTTCCCTTCTGAGCAACAAGGACAGACTCTGTCCAGAGACCTGTACCCCATGGCTTACCCCGGTAAGTCATCCCCCCCAACAGTATCCAAAACGGTATACTTGTTTTTGAAGGGAACGGCCACAGGGGATCCCTGCACTGTCTGCCTGTTCCCTTTCCGTCCCCTGACTGTAACCGATCTACTTTTTTCCTGTACCTGAGGTGTGACTACCTCCCTGTAACTCCTCTCAATTACCCCCTCAGCCTCCCGAATGATCCGAAGTTCATCCAGCTCCAGCTCCGGTTCCCTAACGCGGTTTCCGAGGCGCTGGAGTTGGGTGCACTTCCCGCAGATGAAGTCAGTGGGGACACTAGTGGTGACCCTTACCTCCCACATTCTACAGGAGGAGCATACAACTGCCCTGACATCCATTCCCACTGTTCTGAATTCCCAAACAGACTATTAAAAAAAAAAATAGTAGCCTTACCAAATCAGCGCTCAGAACCTTTTTTATTTGGTTAGAGGAGGAGGATGGGTGGGAGACACTACCTATGTAGTCTTTCGGGTAAAGCAACCGCCGAAATATATTACCTGACTTACTCACTCCAAAGATGGAGTCACGCGAGGTAAGACTTTTAATAAGTTTTAATAAGTTGTTCATTCAATCAATAACTACTGCCCCATCATTATGCCACATTATCCCACACTTGACAGTTTTGGCAGGACTTGGTCCTCAGCAGTTTCAAGAGCCCCCCTCAGTCCTTGACAATCAGTAATCAGCAGTTGGACAGGACCGACTCCTCAGAAATTGGAGAAGGCCTCGGTCCTTGTTAGTTGTGTCAGCCCCCGCCTTCCTCGACAGTTGGATAGGCCTCGGTCTTCGGTTGTGGCCTGTTTGTGAAACCAAGAGGCCATGGAATGAGCAAAAAAAATGATAATTGTTTAACTTTGTCTCATTTTTTAAATATATAATTTATGGAATTAAATGGTGTTGCTTTTCATGGCGACTTATACACATTTTACTGTATTTTCACAAATACCCGTAACAATAAATTTCTATCTATCAATTACAAAAGAACTATTCATTGAAAGATGCTTTCATAGTTCTAAGAAATGCTATTTTGAATTTATTCTTGAATAAATTAAATAACAGACACATTGGTCAATTTGCTTAGCTAAGGTACACTATCCAGCAAGATATTAAGGCTTGGGGCTCAGTAGCCCGTTACCTGATCTGATTAATTTATCAGAGCTTGCACTGTACACACTACAAGTTTAGTGTCATTGCAAGAATTCATTTTAATTCTGTGTAATTCTTATCTGCAATTTCAATTGTTGTGAAGGGAGTTGGCCATATTGTGTTTGCAAGCTATCTTGTTGTGTGTTGTGCTGAAATGTCACTTTTAACCTAATACGCCTCTATTTATCTGAAATATTTTGAACAATCCTCCTTTGCACTGCGTCGTTAGGGTCTGACTCTGTCAATCGCCAAATATGCAACTTGTGCCACAAAACAAAATATCCAGAAAAATACTACTCTTCATCTTATCAGAAATCAGACAACACCAGGTTATAGTCCCAGAGATAGTAGGAACTGCCGATGCTGGAGAATCTGAGATAACAAGGTATAGAGCTGGATGAATTTTTCTGAAGAAGGGTCTAGGCCCGAAGCGTCAGCTTTCCTGCTCCTAATATGCTGCTTGGCCTGCTGTGTTCATCCAGCTCTAAACCTTGTTATACCAGATTATAGTCCAACAGGTTTATTTGAAATCACAGGCTTTCGGAGCGTAGCCCCTCCAAAAGCTTATGATTTTAAATGAACCTGATGGACTATAACCTGGTGTCATCTGATTTGTGACCTTGTCCACCCCAGACCAACACCAGCACCAGAACCTCCACATCATGGCATCCATCTTATCAGCAATAGCAGCAATGAAAAATAAAGGATGCATCCCAATGGATCTCGAAAGGAAGCTTCAGGAAAGGTCACCCACCACTTGGATCAAATTAGAAAGAGTTAGATTCCCCTCTTTTGCAGGTAAATGTATTATAACTGGGTCCTGAAAACTCATAAATTTTACTGTTCACCTGCATACTGTCAGTTCCTTTAAATAGTGCCACCTCCCAGTTGCAGCCTTTCTCCTCTTGATGTCGTTAACTCAAGTAGCAGCATTTGAGACCATCTGAAATGCAGGAAAGCTTTCAGTAAGCCTTGTTATTTCAATATTTGACTTAATTCACCCTCCATCCACTTGAGCTTTTCAAAAAATAATTTTGCCTTATAGATTTTTTACCAACTCATTTCTTCAATTATATTGACAGAGGGATTAATTTGAATTTGAAATGCTAAACATATGTGTAAAATCAATTAATTGTACATGTTTGAAGCAATTTAATATACCAGAATCATTATCTGGATGCTTATTGATTACGCTTTCAAATTTGCAAAACATATTTTCATTATTTTCACATTTGTAGCTATTGTAAATCAGTAAAATTGCACCACATTGAATAAAGCTGCCTTTCTGAGTAGACATGTCAAACTGCAAGTTACACTATGATCTCTACAAGAGAAGTTTAATTGCTCAAGATAAGCCATTTTTTCATTAGTTTCCAGATTGAGACCATTGTCAGTGAAGTTGGCATTTATTGAAAAAGTGGTGAGTTGGGAAGGTAACCTCACAGGCCTGTTAAGAGTCCAACTCATTGTCATGGGACTTTGTCACATCTAGGCCAGACTTTGTAAGATTGGCAAGTATTCTTTCTCCAAGATAAGGCTGAAGCTTCATGATATTCTTCAGCCAAAAGTGCCAAGTGGATAATCTACCTCAGCTTCCTCCAGAGGTCCCAAGCATCACAGATGCCAGTCTTTAGTCAATTCAATTCACTCCGTGTGGATATTAATAAATGGCTGTAGGCACTGTATATTGCAAAGGCTATGGGTCTTGACAATAGTTCAACATCTACTGACAATGTGAGAAATTATATGTGGTGCACACAAAAAAACAGGATAAATCCAACCTGGCCAATTGTCATCCCATCAATCTATTCAGAATCATCAATAAATGATGGAAATTCCTCAGTTCAAATGTGGACAAAATAACTGAATTATAGAGTTGAGGTAACAATGACAATGACAATGTGGCCCTTAACACCAAGGCTGCATTTGACCAAAAGCGAGATCAAGAAATCCAAGTAAAACTGGAGTCAATGGGAAACGTGGGAAAATTCTCCCCGGTTAGAGTCATACCTGGCACAAGTTGGTTATTGTTGTTGAAGATCAGTTATCTCAGCACCCAAACATCTCTGCAGGAATTCCTCAGAATAGTTTCCCAGGACCAACCATTTCAGCTGCTTCATCAATGACTTTCCCTTCATAATAAGGTGAGGATGTTCACTGATGATAGCTCAATCTCCAGAACAATTTGCAACTCCTCAAACACTGAAGCATTCCATGTCTAAATGCAGCATGACCTGGACAATATCCAGATTTGGGCTGACAAGCAACTGTAAGTCTGTACGGCACTTAGAGAATACTGAGAAGCCTGGAAACAGTGGACATGGAGAAGACTTTTGTACTTTTAGGAGAGACTAAGACCCGAGGACACAGCTTCAGAATGACAGGATGATATTTTAGAACCGAGGTGAGGAGCAATTTCTTCAAATAGAGGGTGCTGAGTCTGCAGAACTCATTGCCATAGAAAGCTGTTAAGGCCAAGTCATTGAGTGTGTTTAAGACAGATATAATTAGGTTCTGGATTGACCAGGTGGATAACCCCTCGGATTCACTTATGGTCACCTGCACTATTTGCTTCTCAGCTCTGATCTGTAAACTTCTCCCCCCTCCCCACACCAATAGCAAAATTCATCCTGAGTTAATTGGTGAGTAGGAAATGGAAAATATATACTAAGTGTATTTTTTTTAAATGACTAAGGAATTGAGGTTGATATAAGATTACACCTTGGCTGTGGAAATTTTTAGATTTTGATCTCTGACAAGTGAGGATAGGTTCTGACATGAAGAACGTGAAAACGCTACTTTTATCAAGCCAAAAATCATGCAGTCGATTTTTAAACAAAAGTTGCATTTACATACACATGTACGAAATTTGATTGGTCATTTTCAAATGTTGTGCTGCTGGGAGGAAGCTCCATCTGCTGGGAAGAAATGTGACGTTCAGGAGTTAGAAGCTGGTGATTAACTGAAATAGTCATAAAATCACTGGCATGATGGAAATTGAAAACTCTGCTATCACGATCTAGATTGCAGCACACATATTACAGTAAAATACAGACTTGTTGGGAGTGTGGGAGGTGAGGTTAGATGGCTGTTGTGGATCAGATTGGATGTCTACAGTGGGTTTCTTTGCCCCTTCTGGTTGGACTGATTTCAGAACTTGCTTCGTTGTCCTACCTGAGTCTAGGTAGGACCCGCCTTCTGTCAAGAGAAATGGAGAAGACAATCACATGCAATCCCTTGCCTAGACTTTTAACATTTCCCATTAATGATTGCAGATTCACCATTGGAGCAAGTATCCCTTCTCCGTCCTGTTTTCGATCATCTTTGGCTGTATCGAGTGGTTTCAGATGTTTGAGAACTGATACATTCAGTGGCAACCAGAGGATAGGAACACCGAGATATGCAACCTCCTCCTGGAGGCTGTCTCACATGAATCTCTGCTCCCAAAGGACCATTTCCTGTCATTATTTGTAATTCAGTGATTAGATTTTGTTAGGAAAGGTTAATAACATTATTCTGGCCCACTTATTCATCAACATCAGAGCACCAGAGATTATCTTGAAGATTTCTTCATTGATGTCATTAAGAATGGCACTCATTCTATGCTAATTATTTTTATTTAAACTCTCAATATATTCAAGGTAGATTTTGTAAAGATCATGACTTTTTGGTTTGCTGATTTTGGGGGAAGAAATCAGAAAAGAACTAATTTAAAACCAAGAATTGCTGCATGTTTTGAAAGCAAGTAACCTGACACTTATTGTAAACTCTGTTTATACAGCTGCTGGTTCCAGCCATAGTTGAAGTGTAGTTTGCAGACAAGTTGGAGCTGAAGGATTACGTACAAGTGGAAATTCAGCGACAAGTAGCTGATTGATCTGTAGACTAGTGACTTGTTATCAATCGCAAATGCCTTCTCCTTGGCAAAACTATCTGATTGGTCCTCAGGAAGATGAACAGCTTGGGGGTGCGAACAAGAAAGAGAAGCTATCAGACCTCCACCAGCTCGAGGGCTTTCTTTGTGTTTCCCTAAAGCCACTTAAGCCAAAAGAGAACCAGTTACTATTTCCTCCAGCTTTGCTGCAAGTAGTGACTTTAAATTAATAAAAAAGAGACCTTTTATAAGTGTGATCCAGCCCCTGTGCCTTCCAAAAATTAATGTATACATCTGGAGAAAGAGGACTGAGAAGCAGCATTCTGATTAGCACGGGAACCAACAAATCGAGTCACTGAATTGAATTGCTTTTCCAATTTTCTCTCTATCCATAACACCATGTTTTTTTTTCTTGTTTGTCTGTCTATGTATGTGAGTGTGCAAAAGAGAGTTTATAAGGGAATTTGAGATTTAACTGTTGACGGTTCATATAACTTAAAGCTGTAGTTAGAGTCTACATATTTATAATGAATAGTAATTCTTGTTAAGTACAAAAAACTCGTCCATTTTTTCTGTCAACCTGGTCTCAAAGTCAGGTAAATTTAGAAATTGTGCATACTTCATAAAATCTTTAACTTTTATGATAATTTCAGGAATAGTAGAGCTTGATCTCCAATGTACTACCCCAGTGAGTCATGAAACCTTGGACAGATCTAGAAAGGACTCAAGGTTTATGGGGCAGGGGAGGGGGTAAAGAGAAGCTTGAGGAAGAACATCTCATCATTCATTTAGGCCATTTACAGTTTTCCAGAGTCCTGGAACCCTACTCAAAAATTATGAAATAAGGCAGGCTTGAACTGTCAGTGACGGTAAAAAAGCTAAACAGTACTGCTTTCCTTGACAGACCATCTGGTATAGCTTGAAAAAATATTCTAGTTGCGCAGTTTCAATAGCAATCTTTGTTGATATTTTCCAAAGACTATTAATATTTGTTATAAATCCTGGCTGAATTTCCAAAGCTACAATTCTAATTCCCCAACAGAGGATTCTGAGGTCACAGTTTTACTGACAGTTTAAAGAGATTATTAAAACAATAGCTGTCTTTGATGCGGGTCTGAATAGAAGGAGGCAGTTTGGAGATTTAAAAGCTTTGAATCACTTTCATGAATGGGAGCTTTTCCACCATCAAGTGATATGAATAGCTATTTGTAATTTATACTTTTCATCTCAACTTGGCTCCTGAGTTCTATACTTGATAGGCACTGGTTAAATTGCTATGAAGGTGGCAGGGTTTTGGGGGGAGGTGGGGAATATGAGGTAACATGGGGAGAATGGTAGTGGGATGTGGACATAAGCTAGAAATGAGGTGGGGTATAGAGGTATGACAGTGGGTGGAGTGCATCAGTTGGCAGGGTGGAACTATGGGAGTATGGGAGGACTTGGAGGGCAGTAGGTGGCAACTGTTGACATAGAAGAGCCATGAAGATTGTGTAGGGGTAGCGTGGATGAGGAGTATGAAAGATGAGGGGCAAAAGCCTAATTGCTTCTAAAATAAGTGTTACAAAGTCCGAGACAGCTGAGCAGCGTCATCTAACTAGACAACCCAACACTCACTCACACCCATAGCATATTGGATCTGCAGCAAGCTTTCTGACTCAAGCTATTTGACCCGATAACAAACATCTGAACAGTAATTTGTTCCAGTTTTTTCAGAGTATGTGCTGATAATGACTCTGCTGCTGCCATTTAAAAATCCACTAGATTCATGGTTGCCTCATTATTTTCCCCTACTGCCATCACCATGCTTGTTCTTTAATCTTTTCTGCCTTCTGCTCTATCACAGTCTTTGTTGTGTCCATCCGTCCCCATTCCATATTCCTGCCTTTATCTTTGCTGTTAATCTGTAGCTTTTTCCAGTTTTGATAAACAGTCACAACTTCATTGTGCTCTGTACAAATGCTACCTGAACTACTGAGTATTTCCTGCAGTTTCTGCTTTTAGTTTGCACATACTGATATTCCTTTTCAAATTTTCAAAGTCATGAGTGGTGAACAAGCTATGTGGTTCCCCCTTATGTCAGTAGGCATTTACTCCCAGCTCATAAATTATAGCTGGTGGAAATATGTGGACATTATCCACCATATCTTTATAAAAATTAATACTGAGTGGATTCTACACTGACAGGGGCATTTTAAATCTATCATTGGTAGACAATAGTGGGTCCTGTGACAACAATAATACAACACAAAAGATTTCACAATGATGCTGGTACTTTTGACTTTGAAAAAGCAACTCTACTTACAACAGACAATCATATACAATGAACAACTGCAGCACCACAATGAGGAGCATAGAATGGCCACAGGCCATAATGACTGTTTTGATCCGTTATGCAGAACGAAATGCCCTGCAGTGACAGGGCTTGTAGTGGTTCTGATGTGGACACAGTAACACAGTGAAGTCCCTGATGCTTGACAGAAGACATTCAAAATGGTTGTAGGCCCTCGTGCTGAGAAGATGGGAAGATTACACACATCATCTCATGTTCCAATTTCCTCCTAGCTCCTGAAACCTGATTTTCTTCTGTGTTCTACATCATTACTTTCACAGGTCATTGTAAAACAGCACGCCATGTACTCATGCTGTCACAAATGTACCTTCCACTCTCAGTACAAGTAGTGTACAAGAACATACTGGACACAGTCAGGTCCTGAATATTTTCATGCATTATTACCAAGAACCATTACTAACATTTGTGGACCCCATCGATCCTTACTCTGTGATCACTTCCTAAATGAGATTCACATAAACAAGTCACCTATAAATTGAAATCTGTGCCTGAAGCATAGCCTGGGACAAACAATTACTCTGAACAATGGTTATCAGACTGGAAAGCATGCAAGATGCTAACTAGGTTCTCCTGGCTTCTTCAAAAAGCAGTAGATTATACATGGTCAGAACATTATGTTTAAGCTAAACACCTAGCTGCATTTTCATGACATTGCACATACTTTTCTCCCTTTATATTCTGTTATTTTTCTGTGTTTTAAGATAACGCTGGAGAGTGGCAGCACTATACAAGACTTTTCACTGTATTTTGTAACAAGCTACATGTGACAATAAATAAATCAAACAGGAAATCACATCCAGGTAGAACTAACAAGAAAGGATTATTGGGAAAGGGTGAATAGCTTGGATCTCTGTGAACAGCCTTTAGAACAGGGAGTGGTGAGAATATCATAAAAGAGTAATGAAGATGAATAGCATAGCGACATTGTGACTCAGTGGTTAGCATTGCTGCCTTGCAGGGACCAGGGTTCAATTCCACCCTCAGGAGACTGTTTGTTTGGAGTTTGCACATTCTTCTCATGTCTGCGCGAGTTTCCTCTCGTAATCCAAAAATTGCAGGTTAAGTGGATTGGCCATGCTAAATTGCCCGTTGTGTCCAGGGATGTGCAGGCGAGGTGGATGAGCCATTAGAAGTGCAGGGTTACAGGGATGGGGTGGGATGCTCTTTGGAGGGCTTGTGTGGACTTGATGGGCCAAATGGGCTTCCACACTGTAGGGATTCTATGAGCATAGGATAATAAGCACGTTTGCAATGACACAAAGATTGGTCACATGGTTGACAACAAAGAGGAAAATGTTAGGTTACAGGAAGATATAAACAGTTTTTCAGATGGACAGATAATGGCAGGTTGAATTTAATCCTGAAAATTAAGAGATAATACACTTTTGAAGAAAGACCAAGACAAAGGAGTACTCAAACAAAGGCAAGATACTAGGAAGGTCAGATGAATAGAGAAAACTTGGGGTGCTTGTCCACAGATCCCTCTAGATAGCATGACAGGCTAACAGAGTAGTTAAGAAGGCATACAAGACGTTCGCCTTCATCGGTTGTGGCACAGATTATAACAGCAGAGAGGTCATGTTGGAACGGAACAGAAATTTAGCTAGGCAACAGCTGGAGTATTGCAAATAGTTCTGGTCACTACACTGTAGGAAGGATATCATTGCACTGGAGGGAACGCAAGGGAGATTCATCAAGATGTTGCCTGAAATGGAGCATTTCAGCTATGAAAAGAAGCTGGATAAGATCAAGTTGTTTTCTTTAGAGCAGCAAACCTTGAGGGAGCCCTGATAGAGGTGTATAAGATTATGAGGAACATGGACAGGGTATATAGACAGCAACAATCCCCCTTGGTCAAAAGGTCAATAATAAGGGGGCACAATTTGAAAGTGAAAGGTAGAATGTTCAGAGGGGATTTGAGGAAAAATCTTTTCACCCAAAGGTGGTGGGGGTCTAGAATGCACAGCCTGGGAGGGTAGCTGACGTAGGAAACCTCACAACATTTAAAATGTACTTGCATGAGCATTTGAAGTGTCATAACGTTCATGCTTGTGGGCCTGGTACAGGAAAGTTGGACTGGACAGAAAGATGGTCCTGTATTTTGGTGATACAGACTCGCTGGGTCAAAGGCCGTTCCACATTCTTATCGACATCATTTATGAAAATCACAACTAATCAGGGATTCAGCACTGACCCCTGCATACCAGGTTCCAGTCATATAAACTGCCTTTTACCAGCACCCTCTGTCTCCTGTCAGTAAGGCAATTTTGGATCCAACCTGCCAAATTAACTTGGATCCCCTGAACTTTACTGTGTAGTCTTTGAGAGTGAGGCAGAGGAGATTTAGGGAGAACGACAGCTGGGACAAAAAGAGAGTTAGGGAGAAGAAGAAAGAGAGATTTGAGATTAAAAGAGAAATCGTGGGGCGAGGGAAGACAAGAAAAGTCGAGATCGAGAATAGAGGGAGAGAATACATGGGGGAACTAACCGAGCTGGATGAGAGGGAAAGCTGAAGAAGAAAAGAGATTAGGCGGGGAAAGCGTTTTGGGGGAAGGGAGATTGGGTGGTAAAACTCGCAGGTTGAATCGTCAGAACATGGGTTTTTCTTGTATAGATGTGTTGTGAGTTGGTAAAACGCAGGGAAAGTTGGTGGCTGGTTCACTTTTTGAGCAATAAAAGATATTGCTCCTCCCTCCGTCTCTGTGAAGTGCAGCGGTGTCCGGGACAAACAGCTCACTGAGGCGGACTGTCCAGCTCAGTCATAAAGAGGCTCCAACCTGTTGCTCACTGACGGTACGTGCAACCTCCAATAACAACTCCCATTGTTTTTTTTAACCTGCCCTAGTACATTCACTGGCACAGCCTGAGCAAAGAATAATACATACACCGCCAAACATGCCAACGGAACAGAAATTGCTCATCCAGTGTTCCAGACATCTGTCTACATTTTTTTCTGTATATATACGTGACCAGGATGATTGTAAATGGCATCTTATAATGTAGAAATCACAACATTTTCAACCTTCCACATTGAATCTTCTCTATGCTAGTTAAAACGTGCATATAAATTTAATTATACATAAGGTTAAGATTCAAAGCCCACTCCTTACGCTGTTGGTAGTGCTAATTCTCATATGACTGATCGAAAAACTGCTGAGACTACAGATGGCCAATTAATGGTATCGGAGGGTTGACGAATATAGCTCGACTCTTGAAAAGTTAGCAGAGCTTTGTTAGGGCTGCAAAAAAGGAAGACGTTAAAGCTTTCATGTTTTATGCCCAGTCATTTTTCTTTCAGCAATTTAAAATATGGTCCCAAAAGAACAACATCTCATCTTCAGACTAACCACCTTACAACCTTGTGGTTGTGAACAACTCCTATTCCCTTGCTTTTAACTTTCCGTGTTACATTTTCTGTTATTATGTCCTCTCTCCCCTTCCCCCAAATCCCACAGTGGAACTATCTGTTCTCAAATCGGGCAGGAGACACACCATTGTTCTGGCGTTCTCACATTCCGATCACTTAATCTCAACTATCAATATCCTTTCTCCCTCAACACTTCAATGCCCCCCGCCCCCCAAACCCCAACAACAGCATAAATGCAGCCCCCTCCACAGTTCACATTACCTCTGATGAAGTGTCATCCAGGCTGGAAACGTTAACGTCCTCTCTTTCTCTCCATGAATGCTGCGGTCTCCAGCATTTGTTGTTTTCGGTACAGGTTCCAGTATCTGCAATAACTTGCGCCTATATTTCCTTTCTATTTGTTTGACGAATGCTTCGTATAAAATTGCTTTTGTTTTCCCATTTATTTTTATACACTTACCTCTCATGGAATGTATATATTGCCCTCTAAATGCATATGTCAAAAATAAGCAATGTTGCCAAACACAGGATGTTTTAATGATTTGTTCAGTGGAACATAGCATTCAGTGGCTAGGCTAGCATTTGTTGCCCTAAAAGTGAGCTGCCTTCTCGAACTGCAGTCGTGAAATGTGGGTATACCTGCAGTGCTGTTTCAGAGAGAGTTACAGCATTATGACCAAGTGACAAGGCAGGAACGGTGAATTAGTCCCAAGTCAGGATGGTATGTGGCTTGGAGGAGTTTTGTGGTGTCTCCTGTATCTTGTCCTTCCAGATGATAGAAGCCAAGAAGATCCTGTTGAAAGTGCCTTAGTGAGTTGCTGCAGCGTATCTGTGGATGGGATTCTGCATCAGTGGTGTTTGGGATGCCAGGTGAACAGGCTGCCTTGTCCTGGATGATGTTCAGCTTCTTGAATGTTGTTGGAGCTGAACCCATTCAGACTTGCAGAATCTGAAAAGTAAAAGAGGATGATTTTAGTTTGAATTTCCTGCGTAATGGTATTGTGAGTCTACCAACAGCACATGGACTGCAGCAATTCAAGAAGACAGTTCTTGAAACTGCCTTTTCAAGACCACCTCAAGGGCAACTAGGGACTGACAGTGAATGCTGGCCCAGCTAATGACACCCACGTTCCGTGACTGAATAAAAATTCTTTCAGCAAAGCTATTTCGTACTTGTTTCATATTCTTGGTCGCATTGTGCTGCTAAAGAATATTTGCAGTTTGCTGAGGTAAGGGAAACAGTAACTTTATTTCAGAAACGTCTTACAGTAGTTTCACTTTGCCTTAAGATCAGTAAGAGAGAGCAAGATGATATAACATTGTATCACTTTCTGTGAAGCTGTAGCTTGTTGTACTAGCATATCAGTTAGACCCAAGTCATTATATTCCAGTTGCAGTATTTCAGCTTATTCCTCCATATTACAGCATATTTCTATATATGCGCTTATAATACCCCGACTAACCTCTGCCATTCCCTGACAATAACATTCCCTGACTGCTTATTTCACAGACCAAATGAGTCAGAACTTCCTCAGAGTACAAATTTGTCAGACCAAAGTTGTTCTGTTCATGTGTTGCAGAAAATATCATTTTTTTGCAGTGCAGTCTCGACCTCTTCCTCAGGCTGTGTAGCTGCTGCCATTCAACTGAGGTATTATGCTTGACCCGAACTTTAAAATTTAAACCCAAAAGTCTCTGACACCCCTCAAAAGTGCTCACCTTCATCCTTAACTCATCTGCAATAAAATTCTTTTTCTCTCTGGACTTCAGGTCAAGATTTTGGGAGGGGAGGGGATGGGATAGGAATGGAGGCAGGCAGACAAAGCTTGCCAGTTGTTCAGCATTGTCCAGCCATTGTCAACAAGGGTAGATCGAGTGCAGAATTGATACCCACCCACAAGCAATGGTAGCTTAAATTCCGTGATCAGAGATTGACTGGAATTTACTAACTGACTTACAAGCCCCCTCACTGTGTTGGGGTGGCATCCCAACAGTGAGCCCTGGGGCCCAGTTCTTCAGGAAGCCTTGAAGCATCTCTGTAACGTGGCCACAGTTAGTGGAGGATTCCACACCTACCCACTGGACTCCCCTCCAACTGTGACCACTCTGCTTTCAAATATTTTTAAAAATTCAGAGAGGGCACCTCTCTCTTTCCTCTCTCAGGAACGGATCATTCCCACCCTCAACTTCTTACCTGCAATGGCAGGCTGCAGTTTCTTATGAGCAAGAGGATCCCCGATTGGCTCCCCAGCTTTGGGAGTTCACCCATCATCCTTACTTGGATGGCAAACACCTCCTGTGGCCATTAATTGTCCAGTCCCATGGTGCAAGATCAAGAACTGTATTCAACCTTGATTCAAAATGGAGAATGCAGCCTGATGCCTCCCATATTTTCAAAACATGGGGGAAAGGAACTGGAATAGGCCATTTACCCATTGGAGCCAGTTGCACTATTCAACTAGATTAAGGCGGATCTGTATCTCTGTTTGACACCCTTGCTCAACAGAGTTCTGAAATTTTCAATTGGCCTAGGCTCAGGAGCTTTTTTGGAGGAGACAGTTCCAGATTTCCACTGTTTATTGTGTAAAGACCTGAATCCTGAATGAACCAGTTCAAATTTTAAACTGCCCCACCTGAAGGAATACTACCTGTCGATCTACCCAATAAGTTCTTATGGTAGTCCTAAATATCACAAATTAGATCACCTTTAATCATCAATATTCAAGCTGAAACTGTACATTCATGCCCTCAATATTTTGCTGAGCTTCAATACTGCATAACATTATCTCGCTTCTCTATTACTACACTCCTTGGCCACATTGACTCCCAAATCCACGATATACAAATATAAGGCCTTGCTCCATTCCAGTGCTGTGACCTCCTCAGGCCCTCGGCACCTTATGGTTTTCCATTTCTGTTCTTGCGTTCCTTCATTATTTCCCACCTTTGGATGAAGAATCCTCCATTATTTAGGCTTTAAAGCAATTGCACCAGGGCACACAGGAGACGAAGATAACTAACATGGGCTGGAATCTTGTTTAAGTGGTGGCTGTAGAGTGAGACACCTGCACTGACTCATGGAGGGCAAGGCCTTCTCAAACTAATATCAATTAGCCATTGGCAAGGCCACTGACAGTCTCTGCCTGGGATTAAGACCCCAGGAATGAAAGTCCCACCTGGTGAAAGCTGCCAGTTAATTAGAGGCTGGCATCTCCCACATCTAGCAATGTCAATGCCAGGCAGCCATTCAGGGTCACAGTGGATCAAGGTGTAAGGATTTTTTTTGTCAGAGAGAAGGGGACAAAGGATTTTGAAGCAGGGACAGGGTTGACTCCCAGCACACGCCCCTTTGCCCAGTCATTGATCAGTCGTTTGATTCCTGTAGGCAATCCACAAGGCAACAGGCCTGTTTGCAACTGGGTCAATTCCAGCAGATTCACATTGAGGCCCTTAACCCAATCTTAGCAGCACTCAGTACGTTAATTATATATATCTTGTAAAAGTCTCTGCCAGAAGGGACAAAGTATTTGATAAATTAATGGGACTAAAAGCAGATATGACACCAGGACCTTATAGCCCAGATCCAAATTCTTGAAAGGAAGTGATAGCAGATAGTGGAGGCATTGGTCGAAATATTCCAGAACCCACTGGAGTCCAGTGGTGGGGGAACAGAGGTTTTCCAGTGGATTGGAAATCTGCTAAAGTGGCACCTCTGTTCAAGAAGAGAAGGATACAGATAGTGGGAAAAGTACAGGACAGTTTCCTACTATACATAATTGGGAAAATGCTAGAGACCATTATTAAGACAGAATTAGTCGGACATTTAGGAAAGTTTAACACAATCAGAATCAGAATGGTTTTGTAAAAGTGAAATCATGATGACAAATTTGTTCTTGCTCTTCGAGGATATAACAAGCAAAATTGACAAAGGGAAACCTTAGATTTAATGTATTTAGATTTTTAGAAGGCATTCAATAGGGTGCCTTCGATTATTTGCTATCTGTATTAATGACATGGAAGAGGGGACAGAGTTTCATATATCCAAATCTGCTAATGATTCAAAAATATGTGGGAGGGGGTGTTGTGGTAAGGATGTTAGGAATCTGCAAGGGGATATAGATTAAGTGTGCAAAAACGTGGCAGATGGCATTTGAGGTGGGAAAGTGTGAGTGTCATGCACTTTGGTAGCAAGAATCAAAAGGCAGACTGTTATTTAAAAGAAGAGAGACTCGAAAATGTGCAGCACACAGTGAATTGGCTGTTCTTATGCATGAAAAAAAAAAGCAGCATGCAGGTGTAGCAAATAATTAAGAAGGCAAATGGCCTTTACTGTTGGAGGTTGGACCTTAAAAATGGGGAAATCTTATTCCAACTGTACAGGATGTTGGTGAGGCTGTATCTGAAGTACTGTGCACAGTTTTGGTCC